AAATAAGATAAATAAACAAATAAAATAATGATGATAATTCAAATAAACGAATGATAACAATTCAAATAATATACAAACAATAATAATTCAAATGAATGGAAAAGAATAGAAACTCTATTGGAGAGCCAATAATGTTCAAACTAAACTAAAATCACATTACTTGAAGTGTTCCTACAAGCAATATAGTTAAACCAATAAAAGGGGTTCCTAACTAATAATTAAATGTTGGCCAAACCATTAATCATTAGAAAGGGTTATGAATCAATCAATAATGCCAGATTAATGAAAATGTTATTTTTATTACCAAAATGTTATTATTGAAAGATCAAATTTTTTTTAGCATACTTGTACTTCTTAAAATATTACAAATAACATGACTTTTTGTCCAATAAAATAAAATAAAATAGAATTACTAATGTTAAATGTCAAAAATACATCACTGATGATGTCATGATTAGATGATACCTGACAAAATGTTTTTGTCATAATTAATTAAAAATAATAAATTTATATTCATTGAAATGTCAGATGGTAGTCAGCTTCAATTTGTAAATGTTAACTCAAATGTTGTTGATAATTTGTCCTCCTATTAACTTTTTGGTTTGAATTATTAAACAAGAAAATGTGACAATGTGATTCTGGATACATTTGTATTGCACCAATGAATGGCATAGAAGACTTTGATGAACCTTTCTTTGAAGTTTAATAGGACAGGTTTCTGGATTATTTTTGCAGTAAATCAATTAATTAGCTGAATAAATCCTGAACCAGAGATAAATCTGGTTTCCCTTTTATTTATCAGATCAACTCACTTATTTCACTTATCAAAAAATTATGATATTGATCCAGAATTAAAAGAGCACAACAATCATATTTGTTATATTTGTAGTCCTACTCTAAGCCTAGAAACATCTTCATCAAATCAATCACCTTTAGACACTGTTGGTTCTCAAACTCATACTAAAAACAAACAATTTATGGGGAGAAAGTAAAAAAAGGAGCATTGCTTGGAAAGTATCTCTTTAAATGAAGCCCCATCAGAAGTCCAAAATGCTCAAAATCTTAATGATGAATCTAACTCATTATAGCAAGATTACTTTTTAATGCAATGCTTAGAATATGAAAGCATAATAACTCAAACATTAGTAAACATTTAGATGAAATTGATAGATATTTAGATAAGGCAATAACACCAGTTCCTGATGAAAATATAATGTATTCATAAAGCTCCGAACGGTTGTTTAGACTGAAATTTTCGGTTCAGTTTCAGTTTAGTTTCGGGTTTTAAATTATTATTGAACACAAAACAAAACACAGGCCTGATTCATTTTATAGATTATAAGATATACCTCATGAATTTTATTCATAACATATACTGAAGCCAGCAGCTTTAGTCACTTTTAGGTAGGTCACAAAGTCCTCGCTCTTTTAGGTATTCCACTATTCTAAACACTCCATTAGCGATTTACCCTTCCTTCTGGGCGAGCGAGTGTTTCAAATCAACTTGCTTCTTGAAAGAAATATTAAATTTCCGGAATGTATACTAGCGAACTACGTCACTTACCGAATTATTAAAGAAGCGGTTTAAAAAAAAAAATTTTTTTATTGCAGGAAATAGTTTTTTAAAAAGTAGATTTTGACCTTCGAAATCAATATGTGAGCTCAAAATAAATTTGCAAATGTCTGTTTTAATTAATTAAAATTATTTTAAACTGTTTTCGAAACTCCTAAATTATTTCCAAAAATAAAACATTTTAGTTTGGTATAATTATCTATTATCATCATTGAAATAAAACGTAAAGAAAAAATTTTAACGATTTTGTTTATCATACCTAAATGAATTTTTATTTGCGAGTGGCTGAACCCTACATATAAATATATAAGGTCAGTTTATTTTCGGTTTTATTAAAGACTTGCTTTAAAAATTTATTGAATTGTGAATTTGACAACAACAAAAAACAATATCCACGATTTCAAGTTATAAAAATCAGTTAGAAATTTCGAAAATGGTTTCGAAAATGGTTTAGGAGTTTCAGGTTTGTCTCAAAAATAGGTTAGAAAGTTTAGAAAGGCAACTATAGTTGGTTATCCCTGAGTGACATATAAGCCTTGGTGGGCCCACCCTCCCGGTACATGACCCAGTGTTATGCTTAAAATAATTTGAGAGAAACAAAAATGACTCATTACACAATCCGTTTTAAACCCAGTCGGGGTATAATAGTAGGTTTCCCTGAAATTTATCAATACTTGTATCGTGGTGTATCAATTATGTCAAGACGACAAGCTTCAACTGCTCCATCGACCACTAATCAAACTCCAGCTGCGAACCGAATTCCCAAAGTGTTATTATTACATTAACTTGGTTTATACTTCTATTAGAACAATCCTTGGCTACGTGTTCTTTCTAATAGCATAATGGACACTATACTAATACTTATTTTCTCATATTTTCACCACCAATGATTGGAGACTTTCCTCATCTGAGCCATTTGGGCGACCAACACTGTATTTACTCGGTTTACATTTACTGGTTGAGTGAACGGCATGGCTCCTGTGCCACTTTTTAGCGCATTTTCAACCGAACGAATAGTTTTAAATTCTTTCATTTAAATCAATTACGTGTTTAGAATAGTTTTTAATTGGTCTCATAACTTTTTTAATTTTTAATAACAAAATTGCCCAAAATATTATCATGCAGATCCTCTAATCTTTATAAAAGTATCAAAAGCAGAAAGAAACCTCATATTTCAATCGTTTTTCCTTTTCCTTTTTTTTAATCTAAAAAAATACCATTTATTTTTATTTTGGTATGCACGAATGATCAATTTGTTTAAGGCAAACAAGTACATCAATGTGATATATAAATTAAAAAATTTAAATCATTTATCATCCATCATTTGAAAGCATTATAGATTTGATGGTGGTGGTACAGTTGATGATGATGGTGATACTGGTGATGATGTTGATGATGATGAAGATGATGATTGGTTTTCTTTCAGTGCAACGAAATTAACAGCAAGAAAACCACCTAAAATCATCAATGCACCTAACCAATAACCTTCATCCGCAACAATACCTTTAAAAAATATGTCACCAATTAAAGCTAAAGGTATTGCCAGTGATAATCCCAATGTGACTACTAATGGAGAAGTCATGAGTATGGATAATAGCCAAAGATAATCAGACAAAAAAGTACCTATCAGTGCGTTAATTATAACCATTGTCCAAATTGTTCCGTTTGGAGGGAGTTGAAGTTTTTCAATTTCCAGAATATCAAGCAGAAAAAATCCTGGCCAAAGTAATATCACATTGAATAAACCAACAAATCCAAAAAATAATGGCATATCAACACGTGATTCATTCTGAATACGTAATTTTAACAAGACCGTGTAACACCCATAGAAAATTGCCCCGATTAAAGCAAGACTGTCACCAATTAAAGGTTTTATAGGTTGATCTTGTGGTGAACCAGCTGTATCTCTAGTAGAAATTAAAATCACTCCAATAACACTAATTAAATTTTATAAAAGTGTATGTTAAAAACCTATTTTCTTTTATTGATGTTAAATATCATTATCATTATTACCTAACACAGACTGCTACAAGTTTTATCAAAGAAAATTTTTCAATGCCAAAAAATGCTCCAATTACCAAGGTAAAAAAAAAAAAAATATGGGGAATGTCTAACTTGCTATAGATATAATACCAATGAGGCATGGTGTCAATCATGTGATCCAAAGCTATTAACTGAAGGATGGACTAGTGGTAATGAAACACTAGATGAGTTGATTAGAAGTACACAACTTAAAGCAACTGCATATGGTAATGATTTTTATCTTCAATGGATTCCCTATAATGATTTAACAAATATTGAAAGGATAGGTGAAGGTGGGTTTGCAACTATATACAGAGCTACTTGGTTAAATGGTGCTAAAGATGTAAATTATAATAATGAAAGGACTAACAAAGATAGGACTGTGGCATTAAAAATACTACATAATTCACAGAATATTTCTGGTGAATTTCTTAATGAGGTAAATAAATTATTTTTATTTTTCTATTTATTTTCAGATTTTTTAAATATTATTGTTGTAATTAAATATTTTATTTGTTGTTTTAGTTCAAAAATTATATGAAATTTCTTCCTGATGAAAATTATATAATTCATATTTATGGATTAACACAAGATCCAATTACAAAAGAATACATATTTGTGATGAATTATATAAAAGATGGAAGTCTTCAAAATTATTTAACTAAAGATTTTAAAAATTTAAAATGGGAAAACAAAATTGGAATTCTTTATTTTATTATTAATGGTTTACAAGTTATTCATGAAAAAGAATTTATTCATCGTGATCTTCATAGTGGTAATATTCTTCAAAAGAATATGTGGGCATATATTGCAGACTTAGGATTATCATGCCCAACTAGTCAAACATCTGCATCAAATAAAAATGATATATGTGGAGTATTACCATATATTTCACCAGAAGTTTTAAAGGAGAAACCATATACAATGGCATCAGATGTATACAGTTTTGGAGTTCTGATGTCTGTAGTA